TCCTGCTTTTAAATCTTCCTTTTCGATCCATACACATGGTACTGCCCTTTTCAGATACCACACCATATAGTTTGCAGTTGCCTCCCACTTTCTAGTTCCTTTCAAGCCAGGCCTGACCTTGTACCTGTTCTATGCATTTCCTTGCCTCTTTTTTTTTCTAGCTCCCTTCAAAAGTTCCTATTACTAGTCTTTTTTTTTAGTCTTTGATTAGTCTTCTCTTGTTTTCTCTCATTACTTCCTCCCAGCTCACACTTTCTTGTTTTATGTCCCTCTGCAAGTTTCAATCTGTTCATTCTTTTCTGGTTACCTCCTCCTACTACAAGTTTCCTCTCCTCATTTCCACCTCTTCCATCACCATTGGTCTCTGTGGTTTTTTTTTTTCTTTCTTCCCCCTCTTCCCTCAGCTAAACACTATGACCAGGCAGCTGTCTGAAATCTAGCAAAAGTCAATAGACTTCCTCTTGTTATTCTTGCCTTTACTAGAAAGCTCTCTTGAAACAAAGGTAATATAAGAATCATAGAATCATTTAGGTTGGAAAAGACCTTTAAGATGAGTGAATCCAACTGTAAAAATAATATAGAATCATTCCCCCAAACCACTCCAACGCTGCTTATTGAAACTCTCAAAATTCCATTTCAGAGATTCATCAGCAACTAAAAGCAGTATCTTTTGAAATGTATTTTGCCACAGTTTCAGTCTCATCTTGACCTTGCCTTATCTGAGGTCTATTCCACTGATAAGAACCAAACGACAATTGTCAGCCTTCCTTAAATAACACTCCTGTACTTACTCTTGGCAAGTAAATCTTGGATCATACACTGGAGATTTAGAATGTAAAGGAAAACTGGACTAATCCCCTGGACTGTTAAAAGTTCCTTGGTAACTATTGTTGGACTCCGCAGCTAAAACTGACATTCAAGTGCAAAGATAATTTGAATCAGTTGACTCAACTGTGACAAGAACCTTGCTTTGAGCATTAGCACTGCAAAGAATGACATCTTCAGTGAGAAGGAAAGCAATCAATTAGCCCCCCAAATTGTTTTCCCAGGTCCATTAAATTATGTGCTTGGTTCACTCACATTACAAGGTTCAATACAACTACAAAACATTCACTGCGTTATCAACTGCTGCAGAGAAAGAACCCGCCTTCGCTTTACCATGTGATATTGGCCAAGGCGTAATTGCTCAGAGAAAAAACAAGCAAACATGTAAGAGACCTGAAAGTTAGCACAGGGTTTAAGCGCATCCAGCAACCCTTATCACAGACAGAGCAGTCATTAGGCTGCAACTTGTCTTGGCAGCAACTCCCTGGAGTTTCTGGAAGCAACGAATCCCAACTGAGAGCAGCCTGCAGAATGCCTAAGCCAGTTCAGAAGCAGCCTGTGCTTTCAGATGACAGCAGAGGAGGTGATCTGAGAAAAAGTTTTAAGGAGGAAACACACATAAAAGAGATGAAGGCCTGTTTTGAGGACATGGGAATTTATGACAGAAAGTCAGGATTGATGAATATAGGATGAAAAGTCAGGACAATAAGCGTGGGGTTTTAAACAGAGAAGCTGGACTGGAGTACTAAGGTTGGCCTGCCACACCAAGAAGCAAGATGAATGAAATAAGGAGACGCAAAAGAAGAGCATATACACAGGGCAGGGCATTGCTTTTTGTATCAGAAGTTACCAAGAGCTCTAAGGACAAATTACTCCATCAAAGCAAAAAACCTGGGCCCTCTAATAGTGTAGATGCACAATCCTGAAAGAGTTAATTATACATCTTGCGATGAGAAGTGAAATGTTCTAAAATAACCCTAAAATTAGAAAAACCACAGAGCTTGTTAAAAATGCCCATGCGCGTTTTATTAATAAAAACTAACAGTGCCAAGGTTAAACAAGTCAAACAATTATAGTCTCTTTATATTCCATAAAATATTACAGAAAAGTTTATTTGTGTTTCAATAAAAAGACTACTGTCTTAGAATAGGCAGCTGACAGTATTTGTGCAGTTAATTGTTTGTGAATAAATTTAAAAAGACTACCACCTGCCCTGAAATTCCTTTTATAAAAATGAACTATTAAAAATGATTGACAAATTTTGAGTTAAAAAACTTAAAACATTCTCTATATTTAATTTCAACTTTATAATAGATTACAGGAAGATGCTTATGAAACAAATACAAACATTTGTTTCAGTACATGTCTTTATATGATAGACTTATAAGTATGTAAACAACTATATAATAAAAAGTTTCCAAAGTCTGCCTGTAAGAAATCAGGCAAATTTTACCATAAGCAATAAATCATTCCAAACCTTCAAGACATTTTATATAGCTGCACCAACTGGCAGTAAACATTTGCCAAAAACTTAGTAATTCATATGTCCCAACATACAGTGAAAAGTATATAAACTTGATGGAATCATAATGTTAGATATAATTTAAGGGAAAATAAGTTCACAACAACATTTCTGGAATTTAACATGTAAAAAAAGTAGGACGTATCTTTTCTTGTTTGGTTCTTTGGACACTGCATGATTAACAAAAAACACTACTACATTAGCTCTCTATCCCTCAAAAAGTGGCATAATCAAAATACACTCCAAATAAATTGCCATTCAGTGTATTCATTTTCCACAGAAGGATAGCATTTTATTTCTCAATAATGTGTCTACATTTCTTTAGCAAACTCCGCAAGAACATTTGGGGCAAAATCCATTTTCCTTCAAGTAAAAAAAACCCAAAACAAACAAAAAACAACCAACAAACCAAAAACCCCTAAACCAAGAGTAAATAAAGGCTCTGCATTAACACACTGGTATCAAAAACACACATCCACACCACATTTAAAAATATCCTACATAAAACAATCCTTGTTTGCTTATCAGAGGTGCAATTTCTAAACTCAGAACTGCTTACCAATATTCTCCTTGAGGGATGGGGCAAAGTAATTTGAGACACTTCTCCCTAGAACAATTTATTCCTGAAGCTTGCTGAATTTTAGCAAAAAAATAGTCTACAAGCAAAGGGCATCAGTCGTCATCATCGTTTTCATTAAAGTCATCGTCGTCGTCATCATCATCCCCAACATAAGAAACTGGTGTTTCAACTCTGGAGCCACTGTACTGAGATCCATTGGAGCTTGTAGCCAACATCCCATCTCCACCATTGGAAAAGTCACTGGAGGGGAAAAAAAAAAACCAAAAAACCAAAAAAGCAAAACAGAGGCTGGTTGGCATTGCTGTTAATGATTTTCCCCAGCTTACTGTGCTCTTAAATAAAATTATGTATCTCTTTCATCCCTTTAATTAATCTGTCACCACGACCGCATAAACTGTCTTTAATATACGAGTAAGTTGTTCTTTAAAAGGAGAAACACTGAAGTAATTCAGAAGTGGTTCTTACTATATGTTTCCTCCTTTGGGCTTAATATAATAAAGATTAAATCCTTTCACAGGCGCCTTAGAAGTATGCTTTCCAGGCACTTCTAAAGTACATGCAGCCTTAAGGCTACACAGCTAAGCTCTTCAATATTTTCATGCAGCATTGGACACTTGCATCACAAGTGAATCATGTTTTTCAGCATTAATCTTGATTCAAACACTTTGGAAACAAGGAATTAATAGCTTTGTCTTAATTCCTTGTTGTTACATGGCAATTAGCATTGCTACATGCTGTGTATTTAACTTGCAACTGTTTTCTTCTCACGATGCTTTTCTAGTTTAAAAAAACCAAACAAACCCACAACTGAACAAAACCCAATCTCTTCAGCATCTCCTATTTTTCCCTCTGTGACAACAGCCCTATCCTGAAAATCCACCTCCTGAACCAGCAGGTACATTTAGAGAACATCCACTTTCTTACTCGAATGCGCTCTTTTTCCACAAAAATACACACACGCATTGCAGATATGGTCTGAAATGTCTTGTTCATAGATTAACTGTCTCCTCAACTATTTTATTTTGACAGAGCCAGAATATTCCTGCCTCTGTTATTTGCTCTTTTGCCCATCTTTTTTTTGCTTACTTTCTCAATAGTTTATCAAACTATTGAGACTTGGTCACAAATTCTTGACAAAACGTTCTTCAAAAAAATCACAGAAATAGCATCTTCAAGTTGAAAGACATTGATCTTTTAAAAATTGCCTTTAGAAATGTTTGTTAGTCGTTTTTTAATCCAGCTCATGCACATAATCAGTCATGCATGCTGTTGCTGTACGGAACTAATTCAATGGTCTATCGTCACACATAATGCAACTGCAGGGGCACACCCTGGAAGCCCACAAGGAAAACATATCCAGTAACACACTTCCAAGAGTTTTTGCCGTTCTGCACACTTATTCAAAAAAAAGATACTAAGACATCTGCCTAGCTGTAGTCAGCTGACTTGTAACAGGTTCTCCATGACAATCTGCAGAAGCAGTTTCAAAAACAAGAAAAGACAAAAACTGGAGATGACTCTTGTGTTCCTGTGAACTTTGAAAGTACAAACCCAAACCTTCGTCTCCTCTCTTTCTGCTAAAAATGGAACTGGAGTTCATAAACCGAATATCCTGGTATGATAAAGAAATTGGCATGAATGCATCATCAGCAGCATCTTCAGTCTTCTGCAGACAATTTTAGAGAGCTTGCTAAATAATTTTACAGCCTTTCTTTCCCTTACCAGCAATTTTTGATACCACAAAAGCTAAATAACTTGTCGTTTCCTATTTATATGAATACTTATATAGGTACCATAATTGCTCTTGTTCAGCCTCCTAGGAAACAGAATTTGGAGGAGTTCTTGTGCCTCTCACCAAGATACTGAAACACAGTCAGTTCATGGTTTTCCACTGGCCTCTGGCCACTAGTGGTCTATTCAAATTTCAAGGTCTTAAAATTACATGGGTCCTTTCTCATTAACACTGTGCTCATTATCACAGAAGGAACCTTAGTGAAAATGGAGATTTTATGTACTGTGTACGTTCTGCTTCTCTAAAGATATCTTGGGCAGTATTCTCATTTAAACTTCAGTCCATCAGCACAGAACAGGCAGAATTCCCCACACTTTTTTGGGTAGTAGGAATGGGCTGGAGCATAAACCACCCTCTTCACCACTGCTAGTCCCACACATCCCTGAGCTTAACTGTTAAGAGTTTGACAGAGGGACTACCCGTCGGACAAGAAATTGGCTGGATGGCTGTGACCAAAGAGTTACAGTCAACAGCAAAACGTCAAAATAGAAAGAGTGGTGCTCCTAAAGGGTCCATATTGACACTAACACTACTTAGTGTCTACATTAACGACAAACAGTGGGATGAATCCTCAATAAGTTTGAGAATTGCATCAAGATGAGCAGTGCAGTTGATACGCTGGAAAGAAAGGGATGCCATCTAGAGGAACCTTGACAGGTTTGTGAGGTGGGCCCATGCAAAGTTCATGAAACTCAAGGCCAAGTGCAAAGTCCTGCACAGGGGGTCAGGGCAGTCCCTCATAACAGTATCAAATGGGAGGCGAAGGGATCAAGAACAGTTCTGTCAAGAAGGACCAGGGAATACTGGCAGATGAAAAACTGGACACAAGCCAGCAATCAGTCATAGAATTGCTTTAGGTTAGAAGGGGCCTTAGAGATCACCAAATTCAACCCCCCTGCAGTGGGCAGGGACGCCTCTCAACCATGTATGCTCACAGCCCAGAAGGCCAATCGCATCTTGGGCTGCATCAAAAGTGTGGCCAGCAGGTTGAGGGAGGGGACTCCCCTCCTCTGCTCTGCTGAGACCCCATGTGCAGTGCTGCGTCCAGCTCTGTGGGCGTTGGTACACCTCTTCTACGAAGACCTCATTGTGGCCTTTCAGTGTTTAAAGGCAAAAATAAGAAATACAGAGGAAGATGTTTTGCCACAGCCTGCAGTAACAGAAAAGGTACAATGCTTTTAAACAGAAAGAGGGTAGGTTTACGTTGGATACATGGAAGAAATTTTTTGTGATGAGGGTGGCGAGACAGCGGAACAGGTATCCCAGAGAAGCTGTGGGTGCTCCATCAGTATTCAAGGTCAAGTTGGATTGGGCTTTGAGCAAGCTGCTCTAGTGAAACATGTCCTTGCCCAAAGCAGGGGGATTAGACTAGATGGTCTCTGAAGACCCCTTCCAACCCAATTCACTCTGCAATTCTAAATTGCCCAAATGGATGAGTTGCATTACATGTACCACAGAAATTCAACTAACTTTGCAAATAAGGCTAAGTTTCTGGACACACCAGAAAAAAAGGTGGAAAATCAAGACTTCTGCAGATATTTTGTTCAGCTGATCAATTTACTCAATTTGAGTATTTGTTAGCACTGTTAAACATTTTAATGACATTTGACTCATTTTACAACTTAGTAGAGCTCGCAGAAAGACATGTTTTTCATTACAGTTCCCTCTACAAGCTTCTGATGCTGTTTTTAAGTTAGACACTATTGACCAAAGGATAACCTTGCCCATATTATATCTTTAGGGAAATATCTGTTTTCTCATCACAAACTCAAAACTAAACAAAAATAATAAACTCGAGTCTAACACCAGCCTTATCAAGGCCTTATCAAGACATCATTCTTTTCTACTCTAGAGGAAAGTATTTCCTTAATAACAATGGTAAGAACCATCACTACTCAGGTAAACAAGACATCTCAGAATGAACTTAAACACATATCCACGCCACATTTGATCAAAACAGAACTTGTCTCATTAGGTATTTAATCTCTAATTAAGTTTCTTTGATGATCACAGATTTTAAAAACTATTTGATAATTTAATCTCACCTGGCTGAAAATCTTGTGCCATTTGATGCAGAACCTGATGAAGATGTGACATATACACTGCTGATTGATCCCTGAGCCATTTCTGAAAAACAAATAATATGTAGTTTGCACCCATCTAATTCAGTGGAATTGCTTTTTCAAGTCCAGCAAACGAGTCTTGTAACTAATACCGAACACATCCAAAACACAATATATCCAACTAACACAATTAAAAACATGAAGACAGTGGAACAGCAAAATTTAAAAATGCATTAAAAAAGCTATTTTATTGGGAAGTCATCAAGTCAGATGTCTTCAGTATTCCTAATATAATGAAAACGATAAAACAATGCAAAACAAAGTTGTGACCATGTTCTGCCTTTCCAGGTGAATCAACTACAAACACCCTCCTCTTTACACCACATAAAGATTTACTTGTGTGGTATGAACGCAAAACATGTTTCTGCAAAGAGTGACAGCTCATTCCCCATGAATCTCTGCTGCCCAGTGAAAGGCGTATGTATTTGAAGGCTTGTTAGAAATCTTCACCACAAACCATGAATCTTCATGGATTAACTAACCTGTCACATATGGTTCCAGAGCTTTAGGAACCAAACTCCTCGCAATTTTTAGGTCTTCTGCTGAACAGCTTCCAGATTCTAGCCCACAGGCCATTCCCATTCTTTTTAGTACTTCTATATCATCATGAATTTCAAAAGTATTGTCAAAATTAAATAGATATTCAAACCTGGAGAGGAAAAAATGTCTCAATTAGCTTAGAATAGAATCATAGGATCACAGAATCGTAACATCTGGAAGAGACCTTCAAGATCGAGTCCAGCCTTTGTCCCAGCCCTATCAACCTACTAAACGATTCCCCTCAACGCAACATCCACCCATCTCTTAAACACCTCCAGAGACGGCGACTCAACCACCTCCCTGGGCAGCCTGTTCCAATGCCTGACAACCCTCTCAGTATAGAAACTCTTCCTAATATCTAACCTGAACCTCCCCTGGCGCAATTTAAATCCATTTTCCCTTGTCCTATCTCTCTCCGCTAGGTAGAATAGACCAACCTCCACCTCTCTTCAACCTCCCTTCACGTAGTTGCAGAGAGCGATGAGGTCTCCACTCAATCTCCTCTTCTCCAGGCTAAACAGCCCCAGATCCCTCAGCCTTTCCTCCTAAGACTTATGTTCTATGCCATTTACCAGTTTGGCAGCCGCCTCTGTACCCTCTCCAGCATCTCAGTGTCCCTCTTGTAGTGAGGGGCCCAAAACTAGATGCAGTACTCAAGGTGCGGTCTCATCAAAGCTAAGTACAGAGCAATGATCATCTCCCTACTCCTGCTGGCACCACCATTCCTGAGACAGCTTCAAGTACTGCAACGACCTTTCCAGTTCCAGGAATGGCAGTATTTCAAAAGCTTAACATACAGTGTTGATGACAAACCACATTAAGCAATCAAATTTTTTAAGATTTATGTATTTGATAGCAAGCGACTAAAACCATAATTACACACGCTATGTAAATCATTAAGAGGTTTAACAAATAAAAGTTTTAATTAAATATTTTGTATGTTAGATAATATTATTCTTTGCCATTTTCATGTTTTTAAGCTTTTCTAGCAAGCTAATAGTTCAAGGAGAAAACACTGCTATATTCAGCTTTTCTTTGGCAGATGAAAAACCTAGCTTTGCAGTTCTGAAAGGAAAATCTCTTTTCAGTTCTGCTGGCTGCACTTTACCGAGTTAGGCCAAATGAAAACACTACTTGGTACAGTATGATAAACTTCAGCACAGCTGCCTTACTTTGCTACTAACATCTCTAAGTAATAAGTCTTAGATAAGTTACTGAATGCGAATGTCACTATTCTACTTATTAAAAAGTACTATTCCACATGACTATGCTTTACCTGTCCGAAATCCATACTCTCAATCTACAGACAGCTCAAGTAAATTTATTTGTATTTCACTTTAAACAACTGTAGATGAACACTTTAGCATGGACATAAAACTCAGCCAGACAGAAACTTTTTAACTCACTTGTCATTTGAAATACTGCAGTCAATCACTGTCTTCTTGCTGGTGTTCACAATGATAAATGGCAAATGGATGACAGAATTGGAAGGCGGCGGTCGATTTGCCTGTTGCTCTGCTTGACGGTTTCGCTGAACAAGGTTCTTGAAGGCAATTTGCTAGACAAAGCAATAGTGATATCAAAGTATGAATTAAACCTTTAAGACCCTGCTAACAAAAAACCCCTCTGATAAAGAGTACCCGCAACAGGTGCAGCCAAGTAAATGCAGAGAAGGAGAGAGAGTGTCCACCATATTCCTGCATGTTGAGATGCAAGATGCAAATGATAGTATTAAAAAATACAACACAGTAAAACATAACTGAGAAAAAAAAGTACGCTCTAATCAGGACAGATCCTTGACAGAACGAAGAGATGACAATGACAAGAAAAACAAATTTTCATATAGTATCCCACTTGCTGAAATTATATGCCAAAAACGAACCCAAAACTGGGATGTGAAAATCTGACGTTATACTTTAGGAAACATTAATGACTCTACTCTTACATCGTATCAAAAGTGCTTTTCAGAATGGAATGTTCCTATTTTAAATATCAGCAGTTGAACCAGGACAGTGACTTAGAGGACAGATTACTGCTTCCCACAGGGCAACAAGGGGAAATCTGGGAAGGAGTTCAGCAACGGTTTCACAGCTGTGAAGTCACTTACAGAGCAGGGGTGGCAACATCCCCAAAAGGCAAGACACAGAGTATTGTAAGAGACGACCTCTACTGTCACAGAATTTCATCTATGGACTCTAAAGCAAAAACACATTCTAGATACTAGGACCAAATTGGAAAATTCAGAGGATACAGTATAAACTGCAGCTCCTGTCAATCCTGTTTAAAAATATCTGGAATTGTGGAAAAATTCAACAGAACTCAAGGAAGGTTGCTGGCTTCCCCAACAGCAATGGCCAATAGCATGGTCCCAGCTAAACTCCAGTGCTAATTTAGAACGGCACAGATCTCATCCTGAAATTAACCTCTAATATTCTTAGGCGTTTTCCATCCCTCAGTGGGATAAAACAACAGGAATATAGATATAAGTGATCTTGCCCTATAGACAAGAGTACCTTGACTGTACCTGTAGAATGAGTTCTTGTAGCTGAGACTGTTTTTGCTTTATTCTTTCAAGTCTTCTCTGTTTCTCCACCTTAAGGTAGAAAATAAATTGGTTAGTTTGTTGGTTTTAAGTAGTGTTTTATACCACTACTTTCTCCCCTTAAAATCATTTCAATACCAGAGAAACGGAGGTAGGATATATGATGTCAATCATTTAGAGATCTAACTATCAAGACTCACATCACTACTACTGATGGAAACCATAACCAAGAGTAGAATTGAAACACTGGGGAATAAAGTACAACACATTGAGGAGATGTTAGAAACATCTTTGCCAGTGGAAGTCACATCACAAAGAATTCTCCAGATTCTCTCAAGGAGGCAAAGGGTATTAGACCAGAAGGATCCACTTGATGTAGTCTACTGATATTCAAACTATCGGAGAAGATCCATCAGAAATGCTTAATGAAATGAAGCTGGTATGGAGTCCAAAGTTAAGTCCTCACAATATTAAAAACACACTAAAAAAATAACATAAAAGATAGGAGACAAAATGGTATGAAATTAACAGCTTTCTCAGTGAAAGAAGCTCACCAGTAAATTCACACAAAGACTTAATTCACAGCCTGTTATTCAAACAGATAGAGTGTTAGAATAAGGGGAGAATCAGCAGGGTGACAGAATCTGCTGACAATGCCGGGTTAACCGGCATAGTAAAAAGAGAGCTCATGATAAAGGATACTCAAGGTGTCTTGTTGCACTGAGTGATTACAACATCACAATTATTTTCAGTAAATGTAATGTGGCATCTGAGAGAAAAAATAATCCCATCCATGCATATATTAGAAATAAAATGACACTCAGTAGAGATCTGAAATTACAGTAACTACAAAAAACCATCAGCTCGGTACACCACAGCAACCAAAAATTTGCATTATTAGGCACGGAACAGAGAACAAATCAGAAGTTATTACTACATCAGTGTACGAACCAGAACATTTACATCTTGAATTCGGTAAGTCTGATCTTCCTATTTCAAAAAGACCATATAAAAGAACAAACAGGATAATCAATGACAAAGAACAGATTCCATACCAGGGAAAAATGAATAAACTAGGATTCTACAGAAATGAGGATGAAAAAATGGCCGAGAACAAAGGAGAAATCTATAAAACCATTAATAGTATGGAGAAAATGAATAACAAATGACCAGGTCACTGTCACTATCACTTCCAATCCAAAGAAAAAAATAATTAGAGGATATCAGCTAAATACAGTATGTTCAAAACCAACAAAAGGTATTTCATGTGAAGCTTCTAAGGCAACTGGAATTCACTGCCACAAACCACTCAATATTAAAAGCAAACTTCGTGCAAAGTAAAAATTTGTGGAAGAAAAATTAATTGAGGGCTATTAAATAGGATACTATATCTGGCTCAGGTTATGCCTGAACCACAACTTACAGTAGAAAACATCATTAAATACTTTTTCCAATTTTACACTCCTTCCTAGGTAACTGCTACTGTTGAACACAACACTAGATAGAGAGACCATTGTCCTGAACATCAACTTTTGCTCTTAAATCCTTAAAACATGACTCTAACAAGAAAATGCCTCAAGTAAAAAATTCACAGGAATGCAGTTTTCCCAGTGAAAAACCCCACAGAACTATACTCAGTTAAGCTGGAAAGATATATTCAAAAAGAAAAAGAAAAAAAATATTGGTCTCCAAACAAATTCACCTTCCATACTCTCCCTACAATTTATGCCCCACGTATCACTCTCTTAATAATTTTCACTTGGAATGACAAATAGTTAATTAAACTCATTTTGATAAGATATCCTATGTTTTCTTCATCTAGACAGCAATTACAGTACTAACTGAAAAATCAATTATCAGCATTGAACAAAAATCTCCATATAATTAGCCCTTTGAAGACAGATTTCAAAAGGTTTGTTGGTTTTTTGGGTTTTGGTTTTTTTTCCTTTCCCCAATTTATCAGCTTCTACACAGCTTTTTCAGTTCTGCTGAAGGGATTTTAGACTTAAGAAAAAATAGAAAGCCTCATTCTGTTTTGATAAAGTGAACTGATTTCAGTAAACCTCAGTAACTTTATTATCCTGAAAATCTCAGGAAAAAAAATAATCCTGCCACAACTTACTAATGCTTTTTAGTGTAAACTTTTACTTCTTATCCAAGACATGCAGTAAAAAGGTCTGACATGTTCATGTAAGAAAAATGGCAGAAACATCTAAGATCTGCAGCAACAAAGAATGAGTAACGCACATATATGCTGATCTACATGCAAAACCTATCATCACCACAGATGTATTACTTGTCTGGCATCTGGAGAGAACAGTCTTTCTGACTCTTGAGCACCACTACTGCAGTGCTGGAAATACACATTTATCTTTCAGTTTGATCAATCTCCACTCCAGAATATTTCACACAGACCATAAACGCTGTCACAAAGTTGTATCTTTGACATAGAAGAAATAGGAATATATACATTTAAGCAATCTGGAAGTTTAAATGTGTGTTTTGTAAATACAAATAAACTTTAAAAAGAGTCAGGAAAGCAACTATACCATTCTACTTTGCTATCTCAGTTCACATGAACATGTTATATTAGATCATATCAAAATTATAATTATCTACTCAAACACAAAGCCATTGGGAACTTCCTAACACCTTACCTCTAAATTCTGACATTCCTGAGCCGAGTTAGTAGGTAGACCAATCCATTTTATTTCCTTCTTCTCCTTAGAAATAATGTTCATGGCCATGAGGACATTTAAGGCATCATAGACACGTCGTCTAATATTCTTCTGGTCATAAGCCTGCTATAGACACAGTGCATTAATAAAAAACATACTTGTGACAATATTTGAAAATAAACATACGATAGTAAATGGGTAAACTCAGGTAATGTCCAAACTGTTTCATTTAGCAGCAAGAAAAGAAATACAAAAACCTCAAAAAGAAATTTCTCTTCCCCCATTCAGTTCACATGGAACTGACCTCCCATATACTTACTGATTCATTTGGTGAAATGTGATTATCAGTGGTACTGAATTCTGCAACCAACTCGTCTGCCACCTCATTGTATGAGGTGGTTCCTTTTCTTTGTACCTTCTCACAAACCTTCATAGAGAAATGACGTAAACCCTTGCCATTCTTCTCTCCTTTTTTGTTCCGCTTCCTAAATATACGTATAATATATATTTTAAGAATATTTGAACGTTGGAATATTTAAAGTCTCTTTTTCGAATACAGGCACACTGCTGTAAAAAAACAATCCTTCCCTTTTCTTCTGCATGTCAACCCTTTCCAATATTTCTTCCTAGAATTTTTTTCCCCTGCCACTTACAACAATTAACAATTCTAATATCTCAATGTGAAATACAGTAAAAATTCATTCTTTTGGCAACTCTGCTAGAGCTCCAGTAGCAGACAATAAGTTAACATGAGTTATTCTTGAAGAAGTCAATGGATTGGGGGATAAATGCTAAAACATGAAGAATGAATTACAGAAAGTAATATTAAAAAAAATATTAACTAGCCCATCTAGTTTGGTTACAAAAATTAGATTTGATTAAGCACTTTCTACGTAGGTTCAATAATGATGGAACAGACAGTATAATATTGGTCAAGCTCACTAAACATTACACTATTACTGAAACACACATTTGAAATTATATACCATATGAAGTTGCCATAAAAATTCAAAGTTATGAGATTCAAAAAGTATAGCAAGGTTTTCTGCATATATTTTAAATAAAAAGTTCCTTGTAACTTGTGGAAGAATGCAAGTATCAATAAATTAGTATTAGCAATGGAATCTCTCAATTTTCTGCATGTGCATTTCACAGTATAATTCCAAAGCAGAAAACCATTTATGTGTAACAAGACACTGATGACAAATTTAGTCTTAAAGCAACATTTAGCAAGAGACCTTTAAAAAAAAAGGATTTCATAAGAAAAGACACCAAAAGAATGCATTCACTGTATCTAATATTCTTATTTTAAATGATACCTCAAGATACACTTCAACCTGAAAAGTACTAATTTTTAATTTTTTTTTTTAAGTACATCACTAAAACAGAAATGTTAGAAGCTGAATTAAATCCCAAGAATTCCTGTGTCCTTTTAGGAGCTAAATTCTCTGAATATCCAATCTACTTAAAGACATCCCTGCTTATGGCAGGGAAGTTGGACCAGAGGACCTCTGAAGGTCCCTTCCAATGCAACGCATTCTATGTTTCATTCTATGATTCTGAAAACATAGGTAACATGAGAGTATCTGTCAAGAGTTTACAGAAAACATTCTAGTTCCTTTTATGACAAACAAGGGGGCATTCATGCTTGTGTGACTATTTCCATCCTTAACACAATATATGTGAATGTTGAAGTGCTCCTGATGGAAAGGCAAACAGACTGTTGCTCTCACACTACTAACCTGAAGAGTACATACGCTCACACAGTGAACAGTTACAGAAGTTCCCAACATTTTATTAATTCTTTGTAATATTTATTTTGCTTACCCAGCAGACCATGGCGATGAATCTGCAGTCTGGTTTTGTGATACAAAATGTGTGTTAGGTGTATGTGGACTTCCTACCAGGATAGTATTTGGCGCGGAAGGTCTCTGAGGTGTACCAATAACCTACAGTAAAGGAAAATAATTTGAAAAATTATCATAAGTATTCCAAGATATTAGTATGCAGCATGATTCAAATGATGCATTCTCCAAACAACACTAATACTTTTTATCTACCTACTTCTACCAGACGCATTGAATTTACACACCCTAGTACAAAATCTTCCAGACTGTAAGTTACACAGTTAGAACACTTCCTAAGCAATGAGCATTTATGTTTTATGTGACTTAAAAGATCTCTTCATGGTTGTTAGATTTCTCAACACTATTCAATGCTAACTTGGACAAGATCAACACACACAAACACCCTCCCCTCCACAAAAGGAGGAAAAAAAAAACCCCAAACCCTACCAGACTACCTACACAGAAGTTGTAGTAAATTAGTTAAAATATGAGCATATGAAACAGGAGGATCTGAATAAAAAGCAGTAAAAGAAAAGAAAAAATAATTAGTAAAAGGGAAAATGCCGAGTTGTTGCAAGAAAGGCCGAATTCCCTCTTGCAGTCAGTCTCTATCACCGTAGAATCAAAATACAAGTACGTTAGAAGTGAGGAAGAACAAAGGCCAATTTTCTTTGTCACTGTAGTGAGTGAGCCCAGTTTAGGCAAAACCATTCCATTCCGAATATGTTACAAGCTGAGCACACTTTCAACTTGCAGGTTAAGTAGTCCTGAAGATGTGTTAATTTCAATATGAGTAGTATACAGGTTTGCCAACAGAGCCATACTCTCCTTATCTGTGAAATCAGCTGAAGCAGAACTCTCGCTTTTGCAGATGATTTTTTTAATCTGAAATGTTATAAATGTAACTTTCTAGAGAATACATATTGATGGGAAAAAAGTTATTGTACGATGTCCATTTTGTAGAAATATATGCCTACTTTTTGTGGGTACACTTACCTCCCAGTGGAAAGAGTATGTTGCAATCCTGACATCAGTTACATCAAATGAACCTAAACTTGTTATCACCCATAATCTTGCTATATTTTCCTGCAGTCACATTCTACCTCACCAATAAAATTTCAGGTTTCTTCATTAGCTTCAATAATTTGGCCTCAGTAAGAGTAAAACAGAAAAACCAAAAACTCAAAATGAAACCATTCTATGCGTGAAAGTTAAAATGAAACAAAATTTGAATAACCTTTAAATGTAGAATGCAAAAGTCTAGTGACTATTAGATGTTTGTGATTTCAGCTGCCTGGAAGGACAAAAGACAGCTGTGTTTTTTCTCACATACCGTCTCTTTATATTACACTGCCTCTCTGTGTAGTTAATATGCAAGTTTGTTATATCCACTTCTTGTAGCTGCAAAATCCTAGGTCCTCCTCCCCTTTTCAGTAGCTTTGTTCCATACTTAAAATGTTTCTAATAACTATAAAAAAAAATCAACTAATCTCCCTTACTATTTTTCCAAAACAAAACTTCTGATTGTGGGAAACAGAAAAAGGGTAGAGGATTCGGAACCAGCTCACTTTCTCCCCATGAAAAAAAATACTATCAGTTCTGCTACTGACCAGTCTCATTCATCAAATGTCTCAAAAGACTGCAAAAACCACCCATGTAGACAATGCAGAGAACAGATGATTCAACGCTTTGCTTGCTGAGGCTAAAATTAGAGGGTCTCGCTCTATTCCCTACCTGCCTAATTCCTTGAGCAGCTCCACCACCACCCTCGTACCACATCTAGAATATTCTATGCCCGCGCAGTAAGAGCGCCAAGCCAGCACAGGGGAGGGGGTGGAATTACAGCTGTGAGAAAAACAAACCACTCGGCAGCAGCAAACCCCGGACATCCACTGTGCTCAGTAGTGTCTTGATATAGTCAACAGTACCAAGGAATAAATAGAAATGTGTACAAATTCACAGTAAGAGAGTCAAGCCAGCACAAGTGCCTGCTGCTTCTCTTAGTTTCCTGATTTCAAAAGAGCATAAGATCACAGATTAGCTTCAGGAGAATGGGACAGCCTGTGCACTGTACACAACAGAAAAGCTCATATGGGGATAGTACTAACAAAAAGAAATTAGACTACCTGAACAACGAACACAAGCTCAGAAAATTAAGTATTAAAAACCTGTTTTTACCACTCAAAGATTAGAAAGTTGAAGAGGATCACAAGCCAACTCAAACTGCTTCCCAAGAACATTTTACACTTCGATAGAACATTCATCTCCTCTTAATTTTCAGCATACTACAGGTAATTTTTTTCACAGTTCTTGCTATTTTTTTTAGAGCTATAAAGTCAGCAGAAATTTACCCAAAACTTTTCTCTATGTATACACAAAACAAAAAATCCACCTCTTCTTTAATGACAGCATCTAATTTTGTCCTGATAACAACCAATACAAATATGCTGATATGGGCCCTTTCCTCCACAAAATAAAAAATGCTAGTATGTTCACAGTAAGACTTAAACTGATGAAAAAATTATGACTGCAAATGTAAATTTCCCACAATAAACATACTAAAAAACCCACCACTAACAGTTATTATTTTGGAATAACATTTTAAAAATAATGTTACCATGTAAAATTAATCATAGATAATATAAACCAGGATTTGTCAATTTAAACATGTGATGGAAGGCACAAGAATTTATTTTATATGCAGGCAAGTATCATTGTAAACATTTTATTCATCACTCTAAGTTTTAAAAAGCATCAGATGATTTGTAATTCAATTATTATCCCAATTTTAGTGCTTTAGAAAAAGATATTGGAAGGCACCTGAAAGAACATTTCATTTTCAACATCAAACTCAAGTATGTACACAGTTTCACAAAAATGACCAGAAGGGACCCCCTGTGTGCCATTATGGCCTATGATCTACAGTTAAAACATTCTCCTCCTACTGCTAGTTACTGATTTTTAAATTAAAAAAGTGTCCAACTACTCTGAATTTCCTTGTTTGGATATTTACTGATAGAACACCTCCTACTGAAGGAGTAATTTCCTTCAGCTAAACTCATTGCACTACAGTCTAAACTTCCAAGTGGCTGCTGTAGTTCATTCACCACCACCACCAGAAATCCAGCACAGTGAATGATCGGCACTACATGTGCACAGTTCAAGTGGTACAGTTTATAGATTCAGGCAGCCTCGATTATATAAACACTCCTTGGAGCTTAGCGTTCGGAAAGGCAGATGGGAAACTGCTTTCCTATCAGAAATAAAATAATAAAAGAACACAATAAAGTAATAAAAGACATTCCATTTCAAATGTTTACACATTACAGTTGTTTTCCAGAAGATGAATTGAGACTAACCCTTTTTGGATCACCACATTTTGATTTTGATCACTGTAAAAGTGACTTCTCATAACCTATGTATTATCTATTGCATTATTAGACTCTTTAAAATGTCTAATTTCATGTACTTTGCACAAAGCTTGCAGTATTTAAACAAAAGCATATCTAAACTAAGCACTAAGAAATGTAGCTCTGTTTTCAGTTTTGTTCCACCTAACTTTAGTCTCATAAAAACTGGCTGATGGACGTCACTTACATTTCCCTATGCCAGATTTCAAAGCAGAATCTCATAGAGCCACTGATTATAAGTGGCAAGACAAACAAAAGATAAAGCAACCTGAATATTCAGGTAGTTGCACATTGATTTGAGAGTAATTTTTACATTTCTTCACACAAAAGAACATTTATTTTAACATGTCTACCAAAATTAGAAAGAAGCTTAGACTATGTGCCCATGACAAGTGACACCAACTATCAAGCTACACATCAGATTTACAGTGTGTGCAAGCAATAGTACAAGCAATAAAAATACCGCAGTCTCCTTACCACTTGTTGTGCAATGTTGACATTAGACTGTCCGAATGTTTTTGGCAGGAGCTGTTTTCCAAGCGTATTTACTGTAGAAGGATGAACAGCCAATAGAGAAACAACCCCTAAAACAAATACAAGTAAATAGCTTCAGGTCAGCCATATTGTATTACTTTAGCAATTCCAGTTTCATCTATACTACAAATGTGCATTAATAGAAACTAGCTCTGAACTGCATAGAGTCAATATAAACATAGCATTTACACATCTGAAGCAAAGGAAGAAATTAAGATTCACATGGCCAATGTCCCAGCATATGAAATACCGTGCTAAGGCACACTAGTCTACAGGAGATAAAATTTCGCTAGCATAGGCCCTTTCAAAAGAGTATTCCTGACTTTCCCCTAAGTGTCCCCTCCCAGCTGAAGGCTGTGAATTAGAAAACCAAAGTCTTCAGGAATACAATATTTGAGCAAAATACATGCCACACAGAAGACCAGCCCTGCAAGGAAAGCTGCTCCCTTCCTGTTCATAAGCAATCCACAATCAGCATTGATAGGTAAGCAAGTCTTAAGCCATGTAAAACTAAAATTCAACTATAACAATACCAAGTCATGTATCATCTAGTAATTTGAAACTCCCTGTCCTAGTTTGACATAAACAACAAAACAAACGAAAAAGAAGTAACAAAGCCTGATTACAGAAAAAGAATAATGTGACATGCAAGTCATAACATTTATGTTCTAAAACATCTGTCATTTGGTTGTCAGGTGGGAGATCTAACAGTTCTTTCCCTCAGATAACTTCTAAAGCGGCCAATAGGGTCAGAAGGACTTGGCACGATTCCCATTCCTCCTCCTTTTGCCTACTATCCAATACAGAAGCAGTAAGTAAGCATTTTTACAATGGCTGTATCAAGAAGGGCCCTAACAAGTCCTTGATGCCTACCACCCCTCTTATGTATTCAGGTAGTCTACAGTAAGTTGAGGACAACTCCTATTTTGTTTAAGCCCTTGCTTTCCAAGAGGCTTTACTTCCTGGCTGCTATTACTGCACTACGTCAGACAGCTTCACACGAGAACCTATTCTCAGTACCCCAGGATGCAGCAGCCTGTCGTTTTTCCATTATTAACCAACTTTCCAGTGCTCTTTCAGAAAGTCAGCAGCTATCTAGCTAGTAACATAAATCTGTCACCCCTTTGTGTCCCTTCAGGTGCACCCATCAGTATCATGGCCTGGTTTGTGTGTAAGTTCTTACGCCCTGCAGAACGTGGTAAAGCGCTGTAAACTACCCTGGCTATTAGTTCTCGTGTATTTCCTTCCCAGCTTCCTGGAGGTCAAATCGTCTTTTAACCTCCTCCTCATTGCTTTAAAAACAAAAAAGCAATCTGAAGATTGTATTTCTAGTTTTATAAAATAAGAGTTGTAACTGCTTTCCAAAGTTAAGACGCCTCATCTATTTGATTGCCTTTCCTCACCTCTCATGGTTCTTGTTGCCCATACAATCTCTAGTTCTCATACCCTTTGAGATTTATTTTTGTAGAGGGCAGGGATGGACATGTTATCCATGACAAAGGAGTGCCATATTTTATCGTATAACTTCATAGCACATTTTCTATTTTATTCCTTGTTCCTTTTCAAGTAATTATCAAAAGTCAAAGTGCTTGTTCTCCACCAAACACTGATATCACATTTTCATAATAAAACCTACCACAATTCAAGATCTATCTGAAGTGCTAGTAGTTCACTTGGGGTACTCCTTGTATCTAGTTTGGTTTTCACCAATTATTAACCTGTGACACCTTACTTTCTTTAACAGGCTGATTAGGAATCTTGATAATCAATTTCTTTTTGTTGTTATTTTTAAGAAATCCAAGGACATCACACTGATTAGATAACCCTTATCCACATGGTTATTGACTCTTACAAAGAATGACATTGAAAAGACATAACTTCCTAACTTCCCTTTTCCTTCCCTCTAGGAAAGCCTTGTTGACTCCTGCCCATTATGACATTTGTCAGTATTTCTACTACTTCTGTTGTTATGCGCTCAACTGATCTGCCTAACGGACTTCTGACTTACTCATCTGCAGTTACCTGAACTCTTCACAAACTGGTGCAGGAGTTGTGGCTTTCTATCCTTCTGGTACTATATGAATTATACATACACTGAGTTAGCTGGACATAAGTACCACTGCTAGGTCCTTTAAGAATTCACAGGTAAATAATTCTCCAGACATTTTTACCCACAAGAAAACAAGTTCCATCAATACTTCAGTAGGACAACTTCATAAAGAATAGTATTGCCACAAGACTCTTTCTAATCGTCTTGATCATCTACCTACTCTCTTCAGATGCACTCAGAGACTTCATCCTTGTGGTATGTTTAAAAATAAAATAATTCTTTGTGCTATCATGTTGTTTCTTAAAAACTTTTATGCAAAGACAAATGCAAAAATCATACTCTTGTGACTGTGCAATTCCACACAACAGCAGAGGTCAGGGCTCAAGTGGTTAAGAAGCAGATGTGCACAGAAGGACCTGAGTGGACAATAAGCTGAATGTGACCCTGGAGGAAACCCCTACACTGATGAAGACTTAACCACATCCTGGGGCTTTACTTCAAAGAATGAAGCACTAAGTGTATTTCCTTTTACGCCAGGACTCTTTAAAATGTACCTGGATTATTCTGTCAGTTTTACTGGAGAGGCGTTAACAAAAAGGAGAGTCCAGCAGAAAGATACTAAATACAGCAAGGGTACTCAACCACATGATGTACAAGGAGAAGCTGAGGGAGCTTGGTGTGTGCAGTCTACGGAAGAGAAGATTAAGGAGGAGCAAGGAGTGTTATTTATGGGAATCTAATCACTGCCTTCAACTATTAAATGAAGAGCTATATAGATGACAGAGGACACAACAAAAGGAATAGAGGGAACAGTCACAAGATTATGCAGAGCAAATTCAAATCAGACACAACGGTAAAAAATTCACAATGAGAAAGGTAAAGTACAGCAACAGGTTGCCTAGGAGGTTCCCTGGAGATATACAGAAAAATTCATATACTGAAGGCTCTGTGCTTCAAAGCTGGCCCTGGTTTGATTGTAAAGTTAGATTAGATGGCCTCCAGTCTCCTTATATTATTCATTTAATTCTACAAATACAAATAGCTATCTTTCAGCTAAAACATCTGTGTGAAGGGAAGAGCACACATTATGCTTCTTTAAAGGTTTTAACTATATTAACATTTCCTGTGGTAATGTGCCAGAGTTAATTCACACAACTGAACCAATTTGGGTCTATACAGAAACTGCAATAAGAAAGAAAAAAAAAAGCCCCAGAATTTTGTTGGTTTTTTTTTAAATATTTGTCTCTGCCCAAGTATATCCTACTATTTTCTCATTTAATTGATGTGCAAACATTTTTCTCATATCCACCTGCATTTCCAAAGGTTCATAATGCTCTGGTTTCATATTGGGTTTGTGGGCATGCGGTTTTTGTTTGTTTCTTTGTGAAATATACAAGCAGAAATAATTTTATTAACTTAAGCTTTGTAAGTGATTGACTGCTCTGTTTCTCAAAGAAATTTTACTAACTGTTAATTACTGTTACTCTTACAGCAACTGTAACTGTGAACTGCTGCAATCCAAATAACCCTGTACCTTATGGCCAATATACAACGTGCACAACAGCAAGTAAAAACTAAACCCAGAAGTTTGCAATCAGTTTTGCTGGCACTAACTCTTCTTCCTTTTCAAAACAAACACATTATTAATACTGCGAGTTCTGACACATCTTCCTTTTTTCCCAGGACTCCAAAAAACATGGTAAAAGGCCATTAAAGCAGAAAAAAAAATATGCAGTAGGATGTAACTGCTACTTAAATTCTCAGTCTACCAAACGTTGCTAGTTTGGAAGATCACTCTTAGTACCTCATAAGCCATCATCAAACCTAAACGGAGGTAGAACTTCATCAACACGAAGTTGCAGAATGACTCTAAACAGATGATACAGTTGGGATCAAAAGCAATGTTGTATAAAACTTGCACAGCAAAAGCAGCAGCACCCTTTAAAAAACCTCTGTTATTTATCTGTCTACAAACTATTCCAGATAGTTCATACGGAACATGAAGTAAATAGCCTTCTTCGGTTACTGATCGCATTTAGGCAAGAACTTTTGAACTGGACCTTTGCTTGCATATAACTACAAACCCAAGAATTTAACAAGAAAGAGTGAGTCCCTGGCAGAATTTTAGCAGCAAAAATGACTGGCGATGCAGCCTATTACAAACATTTAAAATAACCTGAGATGCCACAGAAGAAGATACAGTGCATGTAAAATCAGAGAAAGGAGTGCCCTCTGCAGACAAAGCAGCAGATCTCTCTGAAAGCTGCTGCAGTTAATGAAATAGTAGTGACTTTTGTGTTTCAGATCAAAGAGGATGGGGTGAGGCACTCGTTATCTCAGGAGCAGAAATCCCATTTATTCTAGGATGCTGTACCATTTCCTGATGTTATCTCTCTTTACGTTTTCTTTACTTGTGGAAGAGAGAAACAAGTGTGATGCAATAGCAGAAGTTAACAGAACCATTCAGTTTCCTGACAATGCAGCATCTAAAATTAAGTCTTGCCAGTCTGTCTTCTAACAGAGAAGCTATATCATATACATAAGAACTGAATTTGGTAAAAAGATAATTTTGCAAGCACTTTCTGCATTAATACAACTGGGGAAAAAAAAAAAAAAGAACATGCAAAGCAAGAGTGGTGTGTCAGAATACAAAGTAATTCCTACCATCTTCTGCAACAGTCCCAAACTCCGCCCAGCAGGCCAATTGGTAAGTAAATACAACTTTAGGAGTTAAGCAAAGGGTTATTTTAAGAAACATCTAAAGAAAACTAACCTTGCAAATAATATTTTGGAGTACAACTGATTATAAGCACTCCAATGAACTCTACAAACTTTTGTCTTAATTACATAATAAGCTTTGAAATTTATAGTTTTAACAGAGATGCTGGAATTTAGTTTAACAGCTACACAACTTGAAGGTAGCAACATTACTAAGCCAGTTTCAATACAGGTCAAATACGACTATCAAAATTATAAAATTACTATCAATAACCTGACAAA